GGAGAATATCCAATTGTTCATCGGTGGATACCACCAGCCTGAGGGACAGATTGTTCCCAGTGTGGGGCCATTAGTTTCCCTGGGAAATCCCTCCCTCCAGTTGGAAATAGGTTTAAATCTAAAGGACAAGACCCTCCCCAGAGCTGGTGCAGAGAAGAAAGGACAAGAGTTGATTCCAGGGGTTTTGGGATCCCTCCACCATCTAGGGCCTTATAAGGAGGGCACAGGACCTCCCACTGAATCCCTCAGCAGCAGCCCAAAGGACACCCCGCCCCTCTCCTGTTTGCACACCAGGTTCCACCTCCCAGCTTCGACAGGGCAGTTTGTCCCATCGATCTTTAAACACAGGGGCCCCGTAATGGAAGGAAGTGGAAGCCTGGCTTGTGGTCAGTCACCGGGGGTGGGTCCTGACCTCTGCCCCCAGGGCTAGGCAAGCCAGTCAGAGCTAGCAAATGGGTCACACCAGCAAGGGACAAAGGGGCAAAGAGAGCTGACTGCTCCTCAGTTAGAGGGAGGCAGTCCTTCCCACCACCCATCTACTCAAGCAGGGTAAAGAGAGAAACCTGGGCTTGAGGGAAGCTACGGATACAGGAAAGGGGGAGGGAGACTAACAGCTTCCCCCCCCCCCCCAGCTCTCTCCTGCATTTCATTCCCAAAGAGAAAAACCCTGGGGACTCACCCAGTCTGGAATGGCCCCTCCCCCACCTTGGGCCCAGGAGCCAGGCGTTCCTCGAAGTTCTTCCCAAGACCACGGTGTAGAGATCTCGAAGGAAATGGGGGGAGGGGAGGAATTTGAATCCATCCCATTCACTCTCCGCGATGGCTAGTCTTGGTCTTCCAACCCCAGCCCCAGAGCTGCAGGGGATGTGGAACCAAGCCCTTAGGATCTGAGAGAAAAGGGCAGGTGGAGGGTTAGCTGAGAGCAGCAGGGGCCAGGGGCTCAGGAGAGGGGTGGGCTGGTCGAATTTCCCCTCCCACCCCCTCCTGCAGCCATGGAGACCAAAGGAGGAGACCAGGAGGGACCTGAAAAGCCAAGTTATGTGAATGGGATAGGAGAGAAGAAGGCAGCTGGGAAGGGGGGAGGGGGGGAGAAGTTTCCCCTACCCCCACCGCCAGCACCCAACTGTGCCTCCCACACACCTCCCAGCCACAGACCACACACACACACACACACACACACACACACACACACACACACACTTCACAATCTCCCCTCAAACTGAACTCATGGCTCTCAACATACTCTATTCCCCTCAACACAAATAGGCAGAACCTCGTAGACCCAACACAACTCTGGGCCACACCTCAGGTACAGAC